CCAGTAACAAAATGCAAATAAAGGCATCTCTACTTTTCAGATACTGATAGGGCTTGCTCCTTGCTTTTTTAGTGTCTCTGCAGTCATATCTGTTCTAGAGTTGTTTTTCTCCTTAAATTTCCTATTTCAACCTGTGCAGCAGAAACATGCTTCCTCTTGAATGTTGCTGCGATGTTTTGAAAGGCACATAGAAAGTGCAGTGGATGAGCTGTAAGAACAAGCTAATGGGTGGAATTGGTGTAGGAAGTGTAGTTTCGTAGAATCAAAGAACCATTAAAGTTGGAAAGGACCTCTAAGATCACCTTAAGTCCAACCACCAGTCCATCCCCACCATGCTGACCACATCCCTCAGTGCCACATCCACAGGGTTCTTGAACATCTCCAAGGATGGTGACCCCACCACCTCCCTTGGCAGCCTGTGCCATTGCCTCACTGCTCTTTATGAGAAGACTTTTTTCTTAATACCCAACCTGAATCTTTTACGGCACAACTTAAGGCCATTACCTCTCATTCCAAAGCAGGAACCAGCAAGGAGCTGAAAAGCAACAATGAGATAGATTGAAACAAGTTACATCATACATGTCTGTAACTTGCATTTATTGGTAAAATGGGGAATAACAATGCTACCTGCATGGGACTGGTGGGATCTGCGGGAGAGCAGTGCTGTTTTGTTCTGAGCTGGCAGCTGCAGGCAAGCAAAGATATCTGAAGGGCATCCAAAATTTGTGTGATGTCTCTCAAAGTCCCCTTTGTGATTTCAGTGGACAAGCTGCGCACAACAACATCTGAGGTATAAGCTTGACTCTTGAATGTCAACTTTGGTGTGGGATAAAGGATGTGACTGGCAGGTAAAGCTTTGTTTGAGAGTTAGATTTAAAACCCAGGTTGTTACTGTACTTGTCACATGAACAGCTCACCTTCATAATCCCTAAGAGGAATGTGTCCTTTTTTGTTTCTTTGCTGTTTTTTTCCCCCCCATTACACTCTAATCACTCCTAAGTAGTTTGCCAAAATCATCACCCAGAGAAGCCATTCCAGAGTCATAAGGCTGGCCAAGGAGGTAGTAGAACTGCAGATTTTGACTTTCTTCTGTGATGCTGAAACTACTATTTCCAGTATACTTTGTGGACTTTAGTGTACCCTCACATAACATGATTCCTCCTTTGGCCACTCTTTTCCAGGTAAATGTTGACATGCTCCAGCTGTTCTGAAAACTTCATTTGTTTAATCAATGGGGTAACAAGAGCTTTTTCCTGCCTCAGATGAAGTACTCAAAAGGCTAAAGCTGGAAGCACTGCCTGTATCCCCCACCTACACTCACTTCCAAATGACAAAGGAGTTCTCTGTTTCCTTGTATCCGTTCACCATCACCATGTGCAGCTGCCAACCCCAGGAGAACCATTTGAAAAAACAAATTGCTTATGAAGTTACTGGATTTGCCCATCCTAGATTTTATTTTATTTTCTGGGCATCCAGATGGAAGAAACACATGTGGTGTACTTAAACTACAAATTGGATTTCATCTTCAGGTTCAGAATTTTGACACATGTAATTTAGCTTGGTGCTAGAGGTTTGTGCCTCAGAGCAGTGCACTTTGAGGTCACAGAAAAAAGCCATTCTCCAACTACTTGTATTGAGCTGTATTCTGAATTCTCTGAAAGGAGACAAAATGGAAAAGGCTTTACTTATTCTTACTGATATGTTACATTGTCACAAAGTAAATTTCTCTCAAAAGAGGAGGAAAAAAAAACACCAAACAAAAAAACCACCAAAAAGACCTGGATGTAGTGCAGCCAGATGCCTGCAGCCAGCTCTGCGCAGGTCCCTTCTCACCTCACCTGGAAGTGTACTGGTTGAACAGATACCAGCAAGTCACTTGTAATACCTCATTTCAGGTCTGTGGAGATTAATTTTATCATAAATTTGGAAGCTTGATTTAATTGCGCTAATTTTCTCCTGGGAGCTGATAGATTTCTACTTACAGTATTTCCCCTGTATGTAATGAATCACAGTGAGGCTTCCTTTTATTTATACCTGCTAAAAGTCTAGGAAATGAGTTGCAATAGGCATTAAGGAAACATGTCAGAAATTATCTTAGACCATTTGCTGCGTGATCTTCATCCATTTCCAGGTCTATTCTCACATATGATGATAATCATTCCATTCTTCTGGAAATAATCGCAGAACCTCCATTTTAATTCTTTCTCCATGGGGAGTCCATTCAAGAGAGAGCTTATTTCAGACATGCGAGACATCCACTGCTCCTCTTCACATCGCTCTCTTAACATCCATTCTCATTTATTCACTTTTGAGCGAAACGCTGTAGATGTGGAAGTCATTATGGCTACCACACTTCTCAGTGCTTGTGATTTTGTCGAGTATAATCATACACATGTCAGAGCTCTGATTTTACTGCCGCTTGAATTTGCTGCTGAATGGAAGCAGGGATTAGATGCCATTCTATGAGAATAAAGTTCATCTGTCACATTCAAGAGCCAGTCACCAGGGTATCTTGTCTTTTATACGGTTTTGGAAAATCACTTTGCCTCCAAGTCTCTGAGTGACTTTTCCTGCTACGGCTTTATTGCTTATGCAAAAAGCTTGTAATCAGTATTTATGATTTATATAGAAAGAAAAGCAGTCCACTCAGAAAATTAAGTGACAGAGTTATAACTGTTTTGTTTCTGTCATCTTCATTCCTCCTCCTGAGTACTTTTTAAAAAATGAAGTCTGTTTCTTGGGGAGGAGGAGAGCTTACAAGGAATCATTCTCCACCACCATCTTTCTATCTTCTGGTTTTATCCTGAATTCATTGCATGTTCAGCCTTGAGCAGCCATCTCATCCATGTCCATGAATACCTGAAGGGAAGGTGCAGAGAGCCAGGCTTTTTTCAGCGGTGCCCAATGCCGGAGGTTATGGGCATGAACTGGAATATAGGAGGTTTTGTCTAAACACCTGGAGTACTTTTGTGCTTTGTGGGTGCTGGAGTGCTGGCCCAGGCTGCCCAGAGGCTGTGGGCTTTCCTCCTTGGACTCTCCACCTGGCCATTGGCCTGGGAACCCTGCTCTGGTTGGCCCTGCTGGAGATGGGCTGGGACCTGCCTGCCTCAGCTATGCTGTGATTTGTAACTTATGGTGGGAAAATACAGAGTGGGGAAAGTCTTCAGTAAGGTCAAGGGCACTTGGTCAGTGTGTAGACCTCAGGATTTCAAGCACAGTTTGCAGCTGCCGAGTGGCTGCTTCCACTGATATGGAATGTTGGAGAGTGCGTAGCACCAGAGTACTGTGAGCTCAATTAAAGAGGGGTGGAGTTAAGAGTGGGAAGCCCCCATCTGTTCAGGGCTCTGAGCTCCTGAGAAGAGGATTTTAAAAGCTGTTAGCACTGTAATTTGTCAGCCTGGTTACTCCCTTTTATAAAGTACATTCTTTGAAAGGTATCTTGGTATCGCCAAAAAGTGGATTCTTCTTTCAGATATGACAATCATTTCCTCTTAATTAATCTTGATAGTTTGTTCATCTTCACAGAGCAGATCTTCACAGGGAGAAAGAAATGCACGTTTCCTTCAGGAGCAAATTATGAACACACTAAATTGAAAAGCTGCAATGTTCTGTCACATTAACTCGGGTCCTACAACATAGCAATCACACTTGATAAATGGTGACATTAAAGAGAACACATGCACGGGGTTGTGATGGCAACCACGATATCTGGCTACTCAGTGTTACGTGCCTTGCCCTCTTCGTTTATGTCTTTGGGAGTGATGGCCGTATATGAAAAAAAAAAATCAATGGTTTTTCAATCTTTTGTTGCAGTTAACAAAACATAGGGATTGCAACTGGGACGTGTGTTGGGCTATAATACCCCTGCAGCTTTAGATCTGTGGAAAAATATGCCGTTGCACTGTGTTAAATATGGAGGTACATTATACATTGTATCATTTGAGATACATTTTTATGCAATAGATATTTATTAATATGAATTATTTGGGGTATGTATAATGCTATATATTCCCTCAGGAGCAGTTTTGGATGGTATCTGCTATTGCTAAACCAAAGTGTTTGTCAGCACTGTGAGCAGGAGGGTGACTTCCTACTTCAGACTGCAAGTGGCAGAGAAAATTACTCTCTTCTGGTTTTGACCTACATCTCACCAGTTCTGAATGGCTGGTATTAGTGTTTTGTTTAAGCTAACTCTTTATGGAGAACAATTATTACAATTATTACAAGTTACAGGCATAGTTTTAAAAACTACTGCTGTCATTGAATCTCTTAGAGGGCTGTGTTGCTGTAGAGTGTTCAGGTTTCTGACTCAAGCCCAAGCACATCCTTTTAAGGACTGTCATTCAGTGTACTCTTAAACATTTGCAGTGGGTTTTCTCAGTGCATGTGGTACTGTTTTCCCCTTTTCATTGCCATCAATAGCAATAGCAGCACCAATGCACTGAGGCCACGAGGTCACATTTGGGCTAACACTGACTCCTTCTATTATCCCTCCCTTGCCTTCTACTTTTCTTTCTCCTATATATGGTTCAAATTAAATATATATTTCAAAAGAATGTACACTTCAAAAATGTGACACTGTATAAGCAACTGTTGTGTTAGGAAATATAACTTACACAGCTGATGTGTCAACCTCTTGGTCCCCTGTGCAGCACAAGCCAGTTTGCTGGTTGTACCACTGTTACAAGCTTACTGGGGCAGGAATTGTATTTTGTTCCATAGCTTTGTGCAGCAACTAAGACAGAAGGGCTCTGGTTCATTACTCTGCCTCCTATAGTGCAAGCAAATTAGAATAGTTTAAACACACCGTGTTTTGTTTTCAGGCATCCCTGGCAGAGAGGGTGTGCGGTGTGATTTTGGCACTGCTCCTCGTGTGGTGAAGCGGAGCTGAGCTGTGGCTGTTGACTGATATGATGAAGCTGCCACTGAGGAGGAGGCTACAGTCCTCCTTCAATTAAAGTCCTCCTGTTTCAATTTCTGTTTCTGTTTTTTTTTCACAGAGTTAAATGTAAAAGAATCTGATGTAAGAGTGTGTGATGAATCGTCATGTAAATACGGGGGAGTGTGTAAGGAAGAGGGCGATGGCCTGAAATGTGCCTGTCAGTTCCAGGTAAGGAGCGCTCACTTTTCCATTTGCCTTTTGTGTCAGACTCTGGAAAATCCAGAGAAAACTTGGTTATTTTTCTTCCCATACTTCTTGCCTGGGGAGATGGTGAGCTTGGCACCACAACTGTAGCTCAGTCTGCTAATCAACTGAAAGCTGGATTATAGGTAGGGGATGCCTCCAGTCACACTCCCCAAATTTCATTTACTTCTTTTGGTAGTCACAGGCCTTTAATACTCGCAGGCTGAAAATAATAACAGCAACAGCAATAATAAGAATTAAATTAAATTATGTCCAAACAGGAAAAACAACAAAGGTATGTAAATGTACTCTGACACTGAGTGGGCAGTGAAAATGAGATAGTAACAAGATCACCAGCAGTGGTCATAAAGTTTATTGAATGAAAATGAGCTTATTGAGTGAATTATTCCCACTCAGGAAAACAAAAAGGTGGTGAGAATTTATTTAAAAAAAAATATATGAACTTTAAAAAGCAGTGAATAAGAAGCTCAATTTGCTCCATTGACTTTTGTGCCTGTTGTTTACACTTTTTGTGACAATCATGGCAATCCTACCCCGAACATTTTAGAGAAAAGAGAATAATCATAGAATGAATCATAGAATAACAGAATGGTTTGGGTTGGAAGGGACCCCAGAGCCCAACCATCCCCACCCCGTGCCGTGGGTAGGGCTGCTCCCCACCAGCTCAGCTGCCAAGGGCCCCATCCAACCTGGCCTTGAGCCCCTCCAGTATGGAGCACCACAGCTTCTCTGGGCAGCTATGCTAGGGCCTCACAACCTTTTGAGTGAAAAATTTCCCCCTGACATCTAATCTAGATTGTCTCTAATTTGTTTAAAACCATTCTCACTTGTCCTGTCGCTATCAGACCATGTAAAGAGTTGGATCTCACTCCTGTTCATACGCTCCTTTTAAGTACTGGAAGGCCACAGTGAGGTCTGTCTGGAATCTTCTCCAGGCTGAACAAGCCCAGCTCTTCCTAGGAGAAGTGCTCTAGCCCTGTAATCATGTTCATGAGATACTTTAAACTCATGATTTATATCCAGGACAAAAGTATCAAATATTGAGACTCCTGGTAAAACTACAAGAGTTAGCAGTGTTACCAACCAGCTCTAGAGTGGGCTATCATTCAGTGCTTTGAAAATAATTTTGTGTTCTGTTTCCAATAAATAATAAATCAAGGGGAACCAGAATAGCAACAGTGTGTGTGTGTGATCTTACACTGGTTTTGGATCCTGGTCTTTCAGAGCTAGCTTTTGATGTAATGTCATTCAGTTGGGTACCTACACTGAGGGCATCTTGCAGCTTACATCCCCTACAAAAAAAATGAGATCTGATTGCCATTTAAAGTGAGAAAAAAAATCTTAGGAGAAGAATTTTATTCATCAGCCTTCATTCTTGCTGTAACTGTTATTTATGAAAAACAATAAAATCAAAACCCAATAATGGTTTTAAAAATGGAAAGAAATTCAACCCTAGGCGCTAAGCAAAGGTTTCATTTATTTTCTGTAGGTGGTAAATTTTATAACCTCCCAATATCCAGGTCAGGAGGGCTAAAATAAGTAGCTGTCTCATGTGATAAGCTGATAGTTTTTCTTAGGAGCTCATTTTTAAAGCCAATGCTATTTTAAAGCTAATTATAAGTTTACTTGTACTTTTTGAAAAATTTATCCTATATTTAAGGAAAGAAGTCTAATCATGAGGAGAAGGAGTCATATTTTTCGGGCATAACAGGTTTAATTCTTTGTGTAAATTTCAACCTTGGTTATTCAGCAGAAGCTAGGTCCACCAAAATACCCCAGGCAATGAATACTCAGCCCAAACTGTTGGATTCTCTGTGTTCAAATCTGTATGAGGACCAGCTAATTTTATTGCTGATAGCACAAGACTGTGCAAAGGAATTGAAGAAATTTGTGTACAAGGCTTCAACTAAACCAACACTGGAAGGAAGTAGCAAGGATCTAATCCTGCTTTCAGAATCACAGAATCACCAAGGTTGGAAAAGACCTCCAAGATTATCCAGTCCAACCATCCACCTACCACTAGTATTTCCCTGCTAAACCTTGTCCCTCATTGCCACATCTAAACGTTTCCTGAACATCTCGAGGGACGATGACTCCTCCACCTCTCTGGGCAGCCCATTCCAGAGCTTGATCACTCTTTTGGAGAAGAAATCTTTCCTAATATCCAATCTCCAGTGGTGCAACTTGGGGCCATTCCCTCTAGTCCTATGGCTAGTTACACTTGAGAAGAGGCCGACCCCAAAATCCTATGGAGATCAGTAGGACCTTGGCAGCTGTGTACTTCTGAAGACTTCAGACTATACTTTCAGAGTAATTTGGTGATTGCTGTAGAACGTGGTTTTTTTTCCCCTTTGCCACATGATGAAATCAGGTCTGCCAGCTGTAAGGTGCCTACAGGGCGTAAATGTAGAGGTAACCCTGAACAGAATTTCCTGTTCCCCACAACTGAAGAGAGAGCATTTGGATAAATTGGCCACTGGTCTGATTCAGTAAGACATTTCTTTCCTTCCTCAAACTGCAGTTTTCAGGAAAACTGACTTTAGCAAGAGTGATGCCTAATTAAAAGTCTCATGTCCGTTACTGGTCAGGTGAGGCTTCTCCTGTTGGAGGGCAGGACTGTCACTGGCTGCGGGCTGCAGGCCTTGGTACCCCTGGCTGCCTGAGTGCAGGCAGTTTTGGAGAAGAAAGAGGCATTGCTATTACACTTAGACTATTTTTAAGGCAAAGGCTGGTAAAGGCTGTCCCTTGTATTCAGTAAAATGCATAGAGACTTCAGTTCCTTTTCCCTTTTCCTTACTCTTTCTTCCTCCTCATGTATGGCCATTCCTGGCCTGGCAGCATTTACTAACTATTTGGTCTTCCAAAACTGTAAATATTAATGAGTCATAGCTTTTCCTTCTAGGATCCCCTTCAGAAACAACTTGCTGCCAAATTTCAGTGTTGTCATTGCAATATCATGGCATGGCAGCATGAGCACTGCAGGCTGTAACCTCTCTGAACACCTTATGGGCTTTCTCTATCTCAACAAGTCACCTAATGTAAAGTGAGATACTGGAGCTTGACTCTCCAGCAACAAATGTACAGATTAGATTGCAGGAGAGGTGCTGGAGGATGCCGTTGTGCTCTGTTTGCACTGACCTTAGTTATATCCTGACTTTCAGCAGGCCTAGTCATAAAAAAGGTTAACTCTTTTTTTACTATAACTGAGGTGGGAGAGAACACATCTACCAAACTTCTGAAAAGGTCTCTGGCTGGCTGCAGTTTGGATGACATTTTGCAAAGCCTGGATTAAAAAATCATCAACACCTGACAGTTGTGTTCTGCATCAGAGATGGTGCAGGGTTCTTTTTGGATCTCAGTAAGAATGGTTCAACCACAAATGACTTAATAGGGTAACTGCTTTAGTAAGACAGAATAAGGAATATTGATAGCAAGTAAATCTTGCACCTTAACATCTTAGAATTCACTAAAGAATTACCAACCTATTAAAAAAGGTATCACTTTATCTCTAATTTTCTGTCCTCAGGGTAGAAACTTGAATGCTTAAAATACAACACAGTAACTTTACACTTAATGGTATCTCTAAGCTGCTGTCTTTTTGGAGCAGTTTAGCTTAACTAACATTGTTATTTCTGTGTGTACTCTCTGTCACTGGCTGAACTTTCTCAGTTTGATAATACACTTCACGTTTAAGAAATTTGGCAGCTAGTCTCTGTCTTTGTTCATTGTTTCTTGGTGTTTTTGTTTGGTTGGGTTTTTTACCTGGAAGTTCTAAGGATGCAGAAGATGTCTAGAACTGTAGTTACCACTGAAGCCCCAACAGGGCAATGTGTTTTCTTCCAAACAGCGAGGTGGGGTTTGGATACTCAGTTCAGCAGGTAGTATGTAGGCACTCATAGGCACTGGCAGACTTGCTGTTTTAGTCTGTTTCACTGCATTTCTGTACACGTTATACATACAAAAGATATATAATCCATTTTTCTTAGAATGTAAGAAAATAGCAAAAAACAGGCTGCTCCTGCCAAAGCCTTTCCAAATGATCAATTTTCCTTTCTTCTTTTCTTCTTATAAATTGTACCGATGCTTTAGACTTTGCACTCAAAATTTGGCAGTACAGCTATACAAAAGCATTATTATAGTTGTTGACCATATATAACACTCATGATACTCATGAATTTAATGGTGATTGTCTTCCATTTCCCTTGAAGGATTGTTCTTTGCTCAAAAAGATCAGAGTTCCCTTTGAGTCCCATGCCTTTATCTTTCAAATGATTGTAGATGTTTGTCATATTCCCTTTAGACATTTCTGAGATCCAGAGTTATTTAGTTATTTTAATCTTTCCTGCTGAATTTCTATGCTCAGTCCATATGGAGATGGGCTATTATTTCAGCGATCTGAAAGGAATATATACAGTGAAATAATTTTTCTTCAGTGATAAGAATTATAATTTGCTGCTGGCAACTTTATATTTACACATCTCTTCCTGTACATTAACATGCAATTGAGATGATCCATGTTCTTTTGTATGACTAAGTTACTTTGTAATTTCTTTTTCAGTGTCACACAAACTATATTCCTGTTTGTGGATCAAATGGAGACACTTACCAAAATGAATGCTTCCTCAGGAGAGCTGCTTGCAAACATCAGAGAGAAATAACAATGGTATCAAGGGGACCTTGTTACTCTGGTATGTAAAACATTCTTTGTCACCAATGAACAATGGTTTATGGTCAGCTCTTGTTTTTCCCATAAATCTAGAGATTTTCATTTTCATGCTTTTTTGTTGAGTGAAATTACATGCAAACCACAAGACCTCTTTAACAATGAAAGATAGAGAAGAAAGCTGATTTACTTTCTAGTATCCTAACAGGTTATGAACACTGAAACTAGAAGTACTTTATCTAGTGAGTGCTTCCGATGTATGTATCGGGGAACCCTGATATTCAAGGGGCTCACAGTGAAATTGAACAGATTCTAGTTTATTCATGTCTTTAGGATGTACAATTTTTGGATGTACAGGATTAGTGTGACATCCAAAGCCGGATTCTGATCATCCCAACTACCACTGTACTTGCAAACAAACCATCATCTTTACTAGTTGCACATTGGTCATGACCTTGAAGATATGCATAACTCTTACAAAATCATTGTACCTCACATTTCTAGTGGGTTGGTGTTTCCACTCATGTAAAACAGGTTTTCCAACACTTAAAATACACAGGACAAGTTTTCACTGTCTCTGTCTAGAATGTTACAACATGCTGTTGGACATAGAAGCTTTAGGTATCAGAGGTCTTCTGAACGCCTGGTAAGATTTCAAAGCTGGTAAGGTCAAACAGATGGCTGGCTGTCCAGAATTAAACTATATGGCTTAGCAACATCAACAGCTGCGTACTTTCATACATATATAACACAGAAACAAACAAAAGCTTGTGGGACATCTCTCATCTTACTAGTAGTGACTAGATTACATCTACATGGTAGCACAAAGAGTGGCTTTGGATCAGGTGCATACTCCTGCCCAGCTTTGCATTGGCAATTATAGATACCAATGACAATTTAGAGGCAGCAACCTTGATCTTGCTGATATCTGCAACATCTGTCTGGAAACTAGGGGAGATATTTGGGCAGTTTACTTAGGCCAAGTTCATTGCTACTGTTCTATTGCTGGTCTCAGAGCTGGCTTGTTTAAATGCAGGGTGGCTGTGTTTTCATAGGCTGCTCTAATGCCTTCATCTGCAGCACAGTCCTATACTGAGATGCGGTTTTATTTACTAAGGTCCAAAATGATCTATAGCATCTTGTGCCTGGCTGAGCTGCAGATGAATCTTCCAGCAGACCACAGGAAACTAATAGAATGTTACCTTCTTTCTCAAACTGCCACCTGTAAATTATCTCCAGAATACATAGAAATAGCAAAAAAAAAAAAAGATCCATTAACATTTTGGAGCATTCAAGTATTCCACTAACAACATCTGAGAACTATGTGGATTTCTTTTTTTAGTTATTTATTTTATATGCACTCTGCTCCACTTACTAAGACATTTTGAAATGAAAAATTTGTTCTTCTCAGCTTCAGGTTGCTGGCAGCTAATTACAACATTGCTCTGCTAATCTGAGATTTTTTTTTAGCCTTTCTCTCCTTTTTTCTAATGTCCCACCTCAAGCCCAGGAAATGCAGTGTAATTTTTAGCACTTAGTGTAATACATCATGATGTGCTGAGACACAATTGAGTGGAAAGTACTGAAAACATTTCTGAAACGAGGGATGCCATTTGGGTTTTGTACTGCTCTTACAGTGGCCCAGTCAGGGCAGCTCTACCAGCTCCCAGAGTGTCTGGTACACTCTGATTGATCTGAGAAAATGGGATCATAAAAGCCATCCTCTGGAACCAGCCTATTCCCTGCCGGTGATAATAGGTCATTGTGGAGTCAGTGTATGTGTACTCTTGATCTGTAGCACATTCCTCTCCCTCTCTCTCTCTCTATATATATGTATATATATACTAGGATAAAATGCCTGAATGGAAAAATCCTTTGTAGGTTCACATTATTTTTCACATAGTGCCTTGGATTTTGCTGTGAAAATCCTTCTGTTTGGGGATGTCTTTGGGAGCCAAGCAGAGACTCACTGTTTTTCTATCAGAATCTGCTTTTCAAAGCAAAGGCCTGCTTTATCCTGGAGGGATGCACACAAGACAACAGCAAGGAATTCCCCCAGTGGCTATGTAAGAGCTATTTCATTTTAAGTACGTGAGAGCTCTGAAGCTCATATAAGAATGAAAATCTTCCCGCTTGCTGGGGTCTGCTACCTTCTGAGAATACAGCACTGGAACACAGTACACAGAATGATTTAATCAGATGTATTTCTTGACAGGTAACACTGTGAATAATTTTTCACAGTCATGGGTGATTTAACAGCTTATTTATATATTTATTTCCTTTGTCTAGGAGCCATCAGAGTGGCAAGATCCTAAAAAAAGCACCACTGAAAAAAAGAAAGAAAATCATAGGTGCTTAAGGAGTGAACAGAATGCAGATTTTGATGTTAAAATGACATTTTAGAGAATTATAAGAGAATTATAAGAGAATGTATGACTGAAGCTTTGGGGACTGCATATGGAGGTCTCAACATTTGAAAAGCCCATTTTTCTATGTAGGGATGGTTGTTTTTTTGGTTGGTTGGTTTTTGTTTTTGTTTTTGTTTTTTGCCAAATATCTGGTTTTACAAAGAGGTTTATATGCCTAAATACTCCTGGCAGAAGCTATGGATGAGGGTCCACAGCTTTTGGCCAGTACATGTAGACTCACATTGCAGAATAGAGATACTGGAAAAATGAGTGAAATGCAGCTTTAGTGCTCTCTTTGCTTAATACCTAAATATATCCTAAAGCAGCCTTAAGCTAGCTAAAAGTCAAGCAAATTAACCTGCATTCATAATGAAGGCATTGTCCAGTTGGAGACTAGGTGGAAAGTAACAGGGCTGTAATGTGAGGGACCTGACAAGGGTACTTCTTGGGATCATTTCCCATTTTCCTCCACTTTTTTCGTGCTTTGGTGGCCTTCTCCTAGCAAAAGCTGGATGGCTGATTGTGGGATTGTGTTGTGAACTAGAACATAGCACAAGCCCAGCTTTTTCCTTATTGTTTTCCAGAGAAGCTGTGGTTCCCCATCCCTGAAGGTGCTCAAGGCCAAGTTGGATGGGGCCATGGGCAGCTGAGCTGGTGATTCTATGATTATTTATTTCTCTCTGATCAGTTTCCCATCTGCAGTTCAGGCTACAGACAAATGCAGGGATGGGAGCACTGAGCATGGGGAGGTGGCAAGACCTATGCCAGGACTGCTGCTGTCTCAGAGCATCAGCCATCTAGCTGCTGTCACGGCCTTCAGCAGTTGATAGGGGATGGTGTTACACTGACGTTGATTATGCTACCTGAGGTTCCTCTACAAGAGGTTATCCCAAACTGGCCTGCTAGAATGGGGTTAAGAAGCCAGGGAAAGAGGCAGTCAGGGTGCCTGTCTCCTGTCAGTGAATTTATTTATTGGTTTAAAATAAATTAATTTAGTGAATACAAAATACTCCTGTATGATTTATTCCCAACAATGTGTGTTCCTGTTAGTCCATACACAAAGCCAGCATTTTGACTGCTGTCAATTTTACATCATATGCACATGAAAATGAAACCACACAACGCAGTCCTTGACATTTATAGGGTATACATACAGCATACTGTATGGTTTGGAAGGCACAGTCAATTGCTTTCTGTGTTGAGATTTCTAAAGTTAAAAACTAAGTTATTTGCAGATATTATGGCTCTCTTAGATTTAAGGAGTGATACTCTTAGAAGTGGCTTAAACTTCTCATTCTTCATTCTGAAGTAATCAAACTCTTACCCTGAATTTTATTCATTTATTTATTGGTGAAAGACTTAATATGAAGCATAATTAGATGTACACATTGTCCTGAAAAGAAATATAATGAGTTCAGTTTAATCCTTTTGAGAGAGATGTGGAAGAAGTTCAAGGCTGCTCACTTCTAGAATCAGAAAATGGGAAAATAACTGCTGATGCTTTTACAACAAAGCTGTAACAAACCTGAAAACCTGCTATAAAAACATGCGTGCATTTTCCCACCTGACTGAGACAGTCGTAGCTTCAGTGCCATGCAGGAGCTTTCCTGTCCAGCCTTCAAGGAGAGCTGATGACAGCACAGCATCACTGTCTGTCATTGGAAAGGAAATGATTTGGAAGCAAAGAACAAAGCTTACACAAACCATGTCAACACATTCCAGAATTTAATATTCTGAACTTCTTTTGCATGCCATAATTTATCAGGAATGGCCACCAGAATCAAATGATAGCAAATGCTTTTTCCCAGAAGACATCAAGATAAACCAGTATTGCCTATGTGCAGCCTGGCAAGGCACAGATTAACAGCTTCTCTCCAGCTGTGGGGGGAGGGAGGAGGAGAGGGCCTTGCAGCTGCTGACAATTAGACTTGTCAGCATTCCTTCCCAAAAGCTGCTGCTGATTTCAAAACCAGGGGTAATTGCTAGCAGAATCACTGCTTCTGGGGATGGGAGCCCTGCGGGAGCAGGTCTGAGCTGGTAGGTGTGCGCAGTGAATTGACACCCAGCACAGCAAATGTCCCCATGTGTTTGGCCAGCAGCAGAAACCTGGGGGTGGCACTGCATTGGGTTTCACTCTAGTTGGCAGCTTTAAGCAGGCTATGATGGTTTCAGAAGTCTTCTGAAACGCTGGCCTTTGGATCACAGCCTGGGGACTTAACTGATCAGTTATATAGTAAGTTCTTGATTTCACCTGCTCCTTCACCCAGACGTACTCCTGTGTAACCAGGGTTAACTGCACAATGTTTGCCCTGTCCCTCCTGAGCTGCTTATCACTCAGGTCTGTATTGGCCTGGAAAGCCAGACTGCATGCTGCCATCTAACAGGGGACTGTGGTAGAAAGAGCAGTCGCCCTTTCTCTCTTCCAGTTTGGCTTAATAGGATGAGTAATTGACAACAACTGAATAAAATAGTTGACATCATCTGGGATTTGTGGAATGAAGTTCTGGGAATGCTGGTGTCAAAAGACCAAGATCTGTTTATTGCAAGGAAGTGGCACATGCTGTTTTTGTACTAAAAAAAAAAAAAACAACACATGCCACCCACCTAACACCCAGCTATATCCCAAAAGCTTTAGGAGAAAATCCAGGACTTGGGTATAAAGGGTATAATAACTCCTGAGTGCCAAAGTTCAGATGCTGGAAATCTCTTCAACAGTCAGCTAATCCTTGCAGTACCCAAATTCCACAAATACATCAGATTTTTGTTTTTTTTTCCCCTGGAGAATGGCGTATGATTTTACTTCTGATGTGTCAAGAGGTATTTAGTTCTGCCCATGACACAATAGCCACTGACATTTTTCTTATACAGATGTTAAAAAAGTGCCACCGTTTGGCAATTCTTTGCATACTGCTATGAAAGCAGGATTTGGTGAGTTTGCTCTGAAGGCACTGCTGGGCCGTGTGGTTCAGTAGAAGGGTCTGCTTGTTCTAAAGCTGTCAGCAGATCATTGGTGCTTCTGTTTGGAGCGTGTGCCAAAAACAAGGAAGAAGCTGGTTCAATTTTCATGGTAGTTGGAGTTAAAAGCTGATCCCACTGGGAGTCTCTCTCTAATTACTGAGCTGAAGATGGTGGGATGGTACTTCTGTCCAGCCTTCTTGCTTGAGTGTTCTTCCTGCCAGTTCCTGCAGCATGGAGACTGTCTTTGGAAATTCTGCATTGGTTGAGGGCCTGAAAAGAGCAAGGCTGCCTATCTGAGTAAGCCTGTAGAAAATGCTGCTTTTAAAGCCAGCAACTGTTTGGGAGAAGCTAGCCAAGGCTCTGGAATACACAGGAACACCAGTTTGGCATAGCATGCTGGACACGGGCATGCTAACATAGCACCCAGAACAGGGAGAAGCGTTCAAAAATGATGCCAAACATTATACAGAATACCACTTTTTTATTTTAATGATACCTTGAGATCTGTAAGGCCAGCAAGTGAAGAATGTATCCATTCCTTTCCTAGGATGCTCTTCACAGAGTTGCTTGCAGACTTCCCACAGGTCAGCCTAAAGCTGCTGAGCATCACCTCTGTCATTTACATGGCTCTCATAGCTCCTTGCCTTGGGCTGGGTGTGTGCTGGGGAGTGAGGTCCAACAACTTAAGCGTGGAGCAACTCAGGTTCCTCTGAGGCATTTTAGCCTTTGGATTTTATAAGAATTGCACACTGAGCTTTCTCATATTTGTAGGTCAGCATCCCCTCCCCTAAAACAGCTCAGGACGCAATTTCATCACTTCAAAGAAGCATACGCACATACATTATATAAGTAAATTACACTCCTTCAAGTTTCTTAATGAAACAATAACACATCATAAAGCATTCTTTTCAGCAATTCAACACTTACATTTTATACAGGATTGTCTGCTTTGTCAGTAAATTGGGTCACTACGGGTGGAACAGGAGTCCTTCTGTTTTTGCATTTATTTCTGTAAGTTACTAAGCACAGTTTGTTAGGCACAGAATAGTGGTAGAGGAGGAAAGAAAGGAGAATTTAGTCTAGGGAAAAGAAAAGTCTCTCTTGCTGACATTCTGTGTGACAGGAGATTATTTTTAATGTGCAAAGTGACCCAGTAACGTGGAATTTCTCACTTTCCTCCACGCATTAGAGGGAATTATTCTTAGAAAGATAGCTGCTTAAAGAAGAGGTGGGGGGGAGGAACTGAACAAATGGAGGTTTGGCTCTTCCTCTGATGTGAGCAATGAGCTCGTAGGTGGGAGTACAAACCCCCCTCCTCTCTCTGTTCTCCTTGTTCTTTTGGATTTGTGGGAGTAGATTCGGCTACCTCCTCTGCCATCAGACAGGGCATGAAAGGAGGGGTGTGGGATGAACACTGCGTGTGCTCTGCAGCTCTCCTCATCTTCCAGAAGGCTAAGTTAACCAGGGAGAGGAGCAATTTGCTGGTAGTGATTGCCATTCCAGCCTCTCCTCTCACCTCCCTTAAGCAAAGAAAGACCAAGGGAAATCTGTGACTCCAAAGGGCTTGTCTTCACAGCAGTACAAGCTGAGGACAGTAGGATGCACATCCCTGTGCCCTCACCACAGTGCTCTGAAGGAGTGAGTTGGCCAGGGGTGGTGATGAGGTACTCAAACTGTTAATGCAGAGGGGATGCAGCTAAGCAAAGTCACTCATCTGATGCTAATCCAATCAGCCTAATGCCAATTAAATAATTATGCTGTTAGAGCATCCTTACACAAAGTGATTAGCTCACTTGAAAAGAGCTATTTTATAGATAGATGACCTAAACCAACTTTACCTACAGGATCAGTTGCTTCTGCAGCCAAGTGGTTTATGCATTACTCCTTCATGTGCCATTTCCAGGGCTAGAGGGCTGAAGGTAAATCTACTTTCCTTTGCAAACAGATTTTTAAAAAAATCAGGCTCCATGCTCTTCATCTGTTTTAGGTTTAACAACTCTGAAGCTATCACAGTTGAAAAAAGGCTAAGAAAATTGTTCAATATCAAGCATTGCTGCTCTTTGAATAAAAACTGTCCTGACACAATAGGCCATGACAAACCCTACGAGAGGATGCCAGCCTTTATGCTGTTAAGATGTTTGTTTTTACAGCTGGCTCATGAAATGTAACACCTGCACAATGTTTTACAGTGACAAGTTGCTAACAAACAGCTGCTCCTGGAGCAATATTTTCATTTGCTTTCTTTTTTTTTTTCTTTTTCCTCTCCCCTTCTGTTTCCTTTTCAGATAACGGCTCTGGGTCAGGAGAAGGAGGTGAGTACCAAACCCCAGTTACATGTGCTCTTTTTTAGTGTATGTGAATCTGTGTCTGCATTATGTGAGGTGCTGCTGTGCCTCAGGAATTAAGGAAAAGGTATAACAACTAAAAAACAAGTTTGTATGCTGTGTTCTGAGTCTCTCAGAACAGTATTTCTGCAGAAATATTTTGTAGTGTGCATTTGACTAATGTTGGTCTTTCAGATATGACCTACATCATTTTTCATTTGTTTCATGCATGCTGAAACAGTATTGCCAGGAATGTAGTGTGCTATTTAGATCTCTACTAAACCACTGTATTTCACCTTTATTTCACTCTTGAAAATGTCTATTCACAATAAATTTGTTTTCTTGCATTCATTTCCTTGGTGCCCTCAATGTCAATTTCTCACTTTATCCTTGGCAAACACATTGCCTGAGATATATAAAGATTACAGTATGATATGTTTTTAACGAATATTTTAAATGTTCCTGTTCAAAGCTTTGTATTCAAAGAAGGCAAGTAGCACAGCAGGTACTAATGGAAGCATCCCTGTCTTTGAGTACATCTTAACCTTCTTCCAATGATTAAAAAAAACCATGATTTTACTTAATTCTATCTCTGATGCTAGTAGCAAGAATACATGTAGAATGAAAAATGTAAGATATAGGTGCAGACACAGGAAAGCCATTTTGCTTTTGAGTTTTGTTTGTGTGAAGCACTGCAGTGCATACTGATGGAGTGTATACAAGTCACTGTGTTTGACATCTTGATTTAAGTACACATTACTCAAATAAAATATTCCCTCAAACCTCTCAGGAGCCTTAGGTTTTTGTACCTATTGCCTAACGGCCTGTATGACCAGCAAGGGGTTTCATGATGCCTACTTTTGCCACATCAGTTCAACACAGCCCAGCACAGGCAGATGGGCAGCATGTGAGACCAAACCCAAGCCCAGTTGTTTCTATGAGAAATGTAGCAACTGGTGTTCACTAAGGCTGTCTGAAGAGTTATTTCACCAGCTCATATGAGGTCCTGTCTCCAAGGATGGGACGTTGAGTTGCCTTCACCTTTCTAACACAGTTTAAAGTATTAGGACCAATTTCCTGCTCAAGCACTGCCTCTTGTTATCTGCACTAGTGGCTCTTCTCATGCTTTTAAGAGCTTGCTACCCACTCAATCCCTAGCTCTGTCTGCTTCCCACTTTTCTACCCAGCTTGTTAGTCCCTGCAGCTGCTCCTGCAAGCTGAGAGTTGCTTGTGTCAGTGCTACAGTGCGCTTCTTAGAGGAGACAGATGACAGTAATTTAGCCCACGTCTGACTTTTGTTTTTGCTACAGTTTTTAGAAATGCTTGAATGCTGTTGGGATTTCTTGTAGTATTTCCCTAGTCGGATACAAAGATCTCTGTTAAAGTCTTTTGTAAATTTTACTGTGTTGGTCTGGAATAGGTGACTGACAGATGCAGGGATTCTCTGGTAATTTTATGAACAGTTTGAAGAGAAGTAGGCCAGAACATGCTGTCTTCTGTTGGCTAAGCTGCTCAGTGATGAGATGAAAGATACAAGTTCAAATACATTTGTTGCTTGGTTTGGGGCAGGAGACTGAACCCACAGTCTCTTGGTAAGAGAGTCCCAAACTGCACCTCCATTGGCCTCTGCTGTTGTAGCTGCTCTCAGTTAAAATATTCATTGAGCCTGGGACAAAGGGACTGGGAAGAAGGAGACAACCTGGAGGTTGGAAGGATACATTCTTCAGAGAGGCTTTGTTAGTCGAGACTTGAATTTTAATTATTTATGCAAAATAGAATGGCATCAGCTGAAGAGAATGGTGGACTCTTCAGGCTGCTTTGCAGCAGTGGGGAATGTCTTGTCTTGGGAGTGGAATATGTGTGCCTGCTCACATCAGGCAGAATGGAATAAATTCAGTCTGAATCCCTTCACCTCATGTGAGTAACTACACTGCCTGGTTGATCTATGAAAAAAGGGCAGTATACTCTCTATCACTGCCTCCTCCAGCAGTTTTGTGACATTAGCCTTTCACTTACCTGGCTCTTTTATATGCGTCAGCTGAAGCGTCCTCACTTTTGTCTGCTATGAAAAACATCGGATATCGTTCTTAATTTTAGGCAGAAAAATATTTTAAATCACAAGAAATTGTAATTCCCACCTGTCGTGGTTTCTGGATTTTTTTTTTTTTCCTTTGCTTTGCTTTAGACACGTGTAGTGTCTAAATTGTAGTGTTCCCATGATAGTGGGAAGAGTTTCAGGGAGCTGCTAAGCTGTATAGAGATAGGGTCAGGAAAGCCAAAGCCCAGCTTGATCTGAACTTGGCTAGGGATGTCAAGAAGAACAAGAAGGGTTTCTACAGGTACCTCAACCAGAAAAGAAAAATCCTGGAGGGTGTACCCTAGGCAGGATGGTAGCAACAGTCAAGGAGAAGGCTTGAAGTACTTAACAACTTTTTCACCTTGGTCTTTCCTGATAAATGGTCACCACACAGCCCTCAAATGTTTGGCTTGGTAGAAGGGGTTCTGGAAAGCAAAATCCTTCTCAGTGTAAGCAAAGATCAGGTTCATGACCACCTGAGGAACTTGAACATCCTCAAGTCTATGGATCCTGATGAGATGCAACCCAGAGTCCTAAGATGTGGTTGTCAAGCCACTCTCCAAGATATTTGAAAAGTTGTGGCAATCAGGTGAAGTCTCTGGTGACTAGAAAAAAGGTAACATGACACCAGTTTTTTAAAAGGGTAAAAAGGATGATCCCAGGAACTACCAACCTGTCTGTCTCACCTCTGTGCCAGGGAAGATCATAGAGCAGATCCTTCTGGAAGCTATGTTAAGGCATATGGAAGGCAGAGAGGTGATATGGGAGAACCAGCATGGCTTCATCAAGGGCAAATCCTGCTTAACCAACCTAGTGGTCTTCTATGCATCACTGTGCAGTGGTCACTGCATCAATGGACAAGGGAAGAGCCACTGACGTCATCTATCTCGACTTCAGTAAGGCCTTTGACACAGTATCCCATAACATCCTTCTCTCCAAATTGGAAAGATACGGATTTGATGGGTAGATTGTTTGATGGATGAAGAACTGGCTGCAGGATCAAGTCCAGAGAGTGGTGATCAGTGACAAGTGATGTCCCTCAGGGATTGGTTCTGGGGCTGATAACTTTTTAATATCTTTAACAATGGCATCAACAGTGGGGTCGAGTGCACTCTCAGCAAGTTTGCTTATGAAAACATCCCACCAAGCTGTGGAGTGCAGTCAACACACCAGAAGGGATGTCGTGCAGAGGTACCTAGCCAGGCTTAAGCAATGGTCCCGGGTGATCCTCATGACTTTCAACAAATCCAGGTGCAAGGTCTTGCATCTGGGTCAAGGCAACCCTCACTACCATTAGAAGCTAGAGAATGAAATAATTGAGCACAGCCCTGCCAAAAAGACCTGGGGATACTGGTGGATGTGAAGCTAAACATGAGCCAGTAATGTGCCCCTGCTGCCCAGAAAGCCAACTGTATTCTGGTCTACATCAAAAATGCATGGCAAGCAGGGCAAGGGAGGTGAACCTGCCCCTCTACTCTGCTCTGGTGAGACATCACTTGGAGTTCTGCATACAGAAGTGGAATCCACAGTGCAGGAGAGGCATGGACCTGTTGGAGCGCATCCAGAGAAGGGCCATAAAAGTCATCCATGGAATGGAACGCCTCTCCTATGAGGACAGGCTGAGAGAGCTGGGGTTGTTCAGCCTGGGGAAGAGAAGGCTGTGAGTTGACTTAAGAGCAGCCTTTCAGTATCTAAAGGGGTGCCACAAGAAAGAATGAGACAGACTTTAGCAGGGTCTGTTGTGACAAAACAAGGAGAGATGGTTTCAAGCTCAAAGAGTGTAGATTTAGGTTGGATATAAGGAAAAAATCTTTTACAGTGAGAGTGAAAAGGCATTGGAACTTTTTGCCTAGTGATGTGATTGATGCCATGTCCCTGGAGACTTTCAAGGCAAGGCTGGATAAGGCCCTGGGCAACCTGATGTAGATGTGGTGTCCCTGTTCACTGCAGGGGAGTTGGACTAGATGGCCTTCAGAGATCCCTTCCAAGTCTAAGAATTCTGTCATTCTCTTTATGATGCAATGAAACGTTGCTGCCGTAGTCTCCCCTTTGTCACTGAGTTGGGCATACTTCTCTACCTTGTCTTTGGTGCATTGAGATATTTTCTGTGTCTGGGAGAAATCCTTCAAAGAATGGAGCCCATTGTTGTTTTGATTACCAAACTCTGGCCAAAAAAAGTCAAGAATGTTGTACTCAGATTGTTTTCATATCTGGAAGTGTTTTTATTCCATTATCCAAGTAACTGTAAAAATGTTACAAGGAAGTATTAAAAACATCAAAGAAGTATTACAAGCTAAGGAAATTTAGAATTAAAACAAACCTTAGAAAGGCTGCTGAACCAGATGATGTTGAAAGAGCACTGTTTGGGAACCAGCAAGAGTCCAGCTACAGGACTGACAGAAGCACAGCACAATTCCTTCCTGGCATAGTCCTCTCCATTTTCTTCCAAAGGAAACCAAGGCTTGCTGAGATACAATAATCACCTCGTTCTTACAGTTTCATAGCAGACTCTTGGCTAAGGGTGCACAAGTTCAGGGATTTTTGTGCCCCGTTGGGGGCAGATGCTGCTTGTGAGAAGCACTGTAAGCACTGTAAAATGCAAGGATAAGAGAGCGGGATTCTGTGAGTGAACGTAATTGTTTAGAAATTTCTGTTTTCTTCTTAGGATTTACATTTCCAGATGCTAATCACAGAATCAGTATTTGCTGTGTTTCTTAAACACACAATTAGTGGGATTGTGCGTGCACCATCGATGCTGGCACGCACCAAATAGATGAGTGCAGCTGCTTGTACGTGTTCAGGAAGCACTGCCACTAATGTGCAGGAGATGTACCATTTGCTGGTAGATTTTTAAATCTGAAAGAAAGTACTGGTAAAGGATCTATTGCTATAGATCTGCTGGTGACAGTCT